CCGCCTACACGTAAAACTTTTCTGTTTTAACAACTCGCGAAGACCGCCGTCGTCTACGACGACGTTATGACGTCAAGAAGCGACGGTGCCGAGATCGAAACGGTAACCCGTATACGAAACGCGGAATCTCGAAACCCGCGGAAAAGGGAGGGGGTGAACGGGGGGGGGGGTTGTACCGTCCCGCCAGCCGGTGTCTATGCAAACTAGAACTTCTAATGCCGTGGCGAAAAATCGTAGATTAGAATCGAATGGTGGGCCCAATGCAGGGCCGGTGGTATGAGGGGTAGTGTACGGCCGTTTATAGTGGGAAATTGCAAAAGAGTAAAATAAGGCCGTTAGCAAAACAATGATATCAAGTGCCGCGTTACATCCGAGTTGGGTCCCGATATTTCGGAATGAAAAAATATCACAGTCTGTTTTCGTAATCAATAACTGAAACAATGCGCTGTGTTTTAATCAACTATAACCTCAAACTAAATTAACTATATACAATTATATAAACGTTAATTATGTTTTTTGATGAAACTATGATAGCGCTTGTGACGGATCTCGCGTGGATTGTTCGAATATTTCGATAAACAGCTTGCGAAACGCCATGATTTTTACGATTTCCGTTAAAATTTAAATTTTAAACGATTACAAAAAAAAAACAACAAATAACGCTCGACTTTATTTTTCACCACCAAGTACAATTTATGATATTCATAGTTCATTATGAGTTACGGTAAATCTCGTAAAAATTGTATTTCTGCTCGGTCAAAAATATATTTTATCATCATAAATGCCAAAAAACTAAAACTAAAAAAAAAAAAAACTTATATGAACTTAATGCCTATAAAGAACGCAGAATTCGCCGTAATATTATTTTGAAAATTTGATCACGTTTAGCGAAGACTCGTCTATGAGGTATTCGTAGTATTTCGTGTTTCCGCAATTATTTTTAACCGAAATAAAAAAAAAAAAAAATGAAAAGTCATATCGAAAATAATGAAACCGTAATTGGCGTACATTTCCTTGTTTTTCTTAACTAGTGGGAAAACTACAAATGATACAACTGCGACGTAATAAATATTACTAGACGAACCTAATGTACGGTGTGATCAATACGACGCATAACACAAGTCTCAGCTAGTGTTTGTTTTACAGGAAATCGGAGGAATAAAAAGCTGCTCGTCTAAAGTGTTACGTCATCGTTATTTTTCGACATCCTTATATAAGGGGTCGAAACAAATATCTATTTTTGAATTTCGAATCACAACTCACACAACGAATTCCGTGTGAAATTACAGTTTAAAGACATTTCGCCGATGAAAAACAGCATACGTCACTCGTACGAATCCCGAAGGAACAACGGCGGCATACGCTCGTGCGTAATTAAAGTATTGACGAAAATCGTCAATCGTATACGGGGTGTCCCACGAAGCTATTGTAGCTATTGTAATATCTCCGGAGTTAATAAAGATATTGAAATTCTGGTTTTTTTTTTTTTTTATAGAGTTTTTTTGATCATTACGATTAATCGACTAACCGCAATGATAATATTAATCAATTAGAGAATGCGATAACAGCCGGCCACTGAATAATTGTGGGTACTTTACGCTGAACTTAAAAAAAAAAATAATGTATTAAACGTCGCGGATTCGACGAGAACGGAAATTCGCCGCGTCGACATTTCCGGAACGGATACAAATATAGTGGTTTTCCGCCGAAGAAAATAATTGCGAAACGTGTAAATATGCGCGGTCTGTATCCAGGCGGGCGAAACGGGCGTGTATCTTCGGGGCGCACGCGATTGACGATACGCCCGCGGTGATATAATGCCGTCGTGAGGCACACCCTGTATTATTGTTGTTGTACCGTCGACGGCGGAGACCCGCGGGCCGCGTTTATACCGTTTATAATCCCCGCGATGCGGTTTCCGGCCGCGGCGACGGCGACGACTGTTGATTCTGAATAACGCCGACGGCGACGGCTCGGAACGGCGGGCGCCGCGATTGTTGGGCACGGCGAACGGAGACGTTTAGCCCCCGGGGGGGTCGCGAGGACGGGCCGGGCGTCGCCGCGAAACCGTGCGAAGTCTCCGGGGGGGAGGGGGGGGAGAGAAAGGATTTGCCGAAAACGTTTCGCGCGGCCTCGGGCCCGGCGTAACGCGACGACCCGCGTTTGTTATAATATCGTTTCGGCATTTCGGATGGGGAAACGCTCGGGAATCCGAAACGGTTTCGACGGGTTTTCGGTTGGTTGTTTTTTTTTTTTTTTTTTTTTTTTCGCCGTCCCCGGCGAAACGAAACGTCGCGATCGAACGCGCGCGTTGCCGTCCGGTTTGGAATCGCAGCGCGAAGGAACCGCGCTCCGACCGAACGCAAGCGTTTCCGCAGAAGAAGCGATAAACAGCGCTCTATTTTTCTTTTTTTTTTTCTTTTTAAGAATTTAAACGTACATTTTTTCGTTAAATCCAATGCGGTTCCCGTTCGTTTGGACAACGGAAAAAAATCGAAAATCTGATTTTCATTGATACGTATAGTTCTTCCGATTCCGGGCCCATAGTATTAAACGCATTACAAATCAAAAAATAAAAATACACTTAAGAGTTGATAACATATACATCGTGTTGTAGGATTGCTGTGGGTCGATGTAAATCACCGGAACCGAAAACCCATTCTGAGCGTAGCTCGACAAACCGGCAAGTTATTATTAGTTCGCCCTAAATCAACGAAAATAAAACGTTAATCTGTCGGCGTTGGCAAACTATTGCATAGAATTTAGACATGTTTATTGGGGTTTTTTTTTTTATCAAATAAAGTATAACCGATATAACCTACAGTGTAAATAATTCGGAACGGTTTCACTGGCCGAACAAGTGTTTTCCGAGAGAAAAACAAAACACCGATACCAACGAAAAATCATGAAAAACGCGTCTTACAAATTCTAATGCTACTGCTATAATAACATTGAGAAATTAAAAAATATATAATATATAAATTAACAAAGGGGAAAAACGCCTTTTTATATATATATATATATATATAAATATTTTTTTTAGTCTCGTGGAAATACACACATACTACGCACGACGTGTTCGTCGAGGGTTAAACATAATAATATAGCTTTTTTTTTTTTTTTTTTTTTTTTTA